AGTCATCACCCTGCTAATTCCATCTGATTTTACTACAAAATGGAAGGAAAGGGAAATTAGTGGAGGAAATACAGATAGGAAATTAAAGAAAGAGATTTAAGTAAATTCAACTGGCAAATCCAAAGAAAGATGCTCAATGGTACATGCTAGCTACTTGATTAAAATGATGACTGTGACATTCAGTTTATATAACATAATCTGTAAATGGCTCTCCCCAGGGCCAAGAGCCTATGTCACAACCAAAGCATGTGTTCTGTGGTCTACCTTTTCCAAACAAATAACAAACTAGATATTTCCAAACCTCTTGATTATTCTCTAAGTTTTTCAAGTTTTCACCCACTTTGGGGGCATTAGGAAGATCTAACCTGAACTCCATTCACTACAAAGTGTTGCATAATCAAAACATGGCTCAACAGCTCTTTGGATTCCATAAGAAATAGCTTAATGAATTGGCCCAACTACCTATGAGTATGGGGCAGCAGGTACAGTGTGACTGGGGAACCTACTGTATTAGTCCCTTTCCATTGCTTATAATAGGATACCTGAAACTGGACAATTTGTAAAGAAATGAAATTTATTTCTTATAGTTTGGAGGCTGGGAAGTCCAAGCTCCAGGGACCACATTTGGGGAGGGCCTTCTTCTTGGTGGGGTGACTCTCTAGAGCATCTCAAGTTATCTCATGGCAAGAATGGGCTGAGCAAGGGTGAGTGTTAACCTTCTCACTCACTCTCCTTATAAAGCCATCAGAACCATTACTCCATGAATGGATCAATCCATTCATGAGAGCACAGTCCTCACAATCTAATCACCTTTTAAAGACCCCACCTTTCAAATACCATAATTGGATTTCCTGCCCTTTTAACAGTGTTTCAGTGGGAGTCAAGCTTCTGATACATGAACTTTTGGGGGACACATTTAACCTATATCACCAATTTTCTACTAGCCCTGGTAAAGGCCACTGGTGGTCTTTGTCTGCAATTTTTATGTTGAAATTTTATGAATTGTGTTCCACTGAAGTTGCTTGCCTGTCTGTTCAATCTCTTTACTACAAATGTTGCTTCCTCTGACCTATTTCTTGCCTCAATAGCTACAAACCCTCATCTGCTCATCTGCCTGCCTTTTACAAGCTTGCTCTTCAAGCCTCTACCCCCAGCAAACACAGGATGAAGTGTAGCCCCCTTAGCAAAGCCTGTATGGTACTTATGTATCTGATTCCTGCTTCCGTCTCTAGCTTCCTCCCCCAAGTTATTTCCCTGCATGCACCTCATATCCCTGTAATTTTGAATGATTATAACTCATCAGATGCATCATGATGTTTCATGATTCTGCAGCTTTGACATTGCAGTTTCCTCTGTGTGGTGTGTCTTGTCCCTTTCTCTCTGCCATTCATGTGCACAACTGTTACTCTTCCTTCCCAATGCAACCCAATTGTCTTCCTTTTTGTTTCCTGATTCCAGCCCTGAAATCACTATAGAATTGGCCCTCTATTCCCTATGCTCTTCACCAATTTAGTTAGTGCATATCTCACTTGTACACTTACTCTTACCTATGGCAGTCATTGTGTCTCCCTCTTCAACCTTGAAAACTGAAGTGTGCTTGGTTATTTTTGAATAATTTTCCTAGCATAGTTCTTTGCATGGGGTGTGGCACATAGTAGCTACTCAAACATGTTTGTTGGATAGAAAGGTGGATGAATGTATTAATGAATGGATGGATGGATGGATGGCACTTCTGATGATGAGCTAGCTACCAGCATACTCAACCACAAGCATTAAATGAGCCCCTACAGTATGCCAGATAATGTGACAGGGCTAAAAATAACCATAAGGAACAGAATGAAAATGTCGGCTTGAAAAATAAAAACAGCTTAATTTAGGTCCTAATTAGTTACTTTGAAAGCCTGCTGATAATGAGGAATTTGACCAATGTTCAGTTCTCTAAACTCCCAGTCCATGCAAATGTCTTCCCAAGAGCCTCAATAAGGGGATGTGACGTAGAATGCTCTTTAGATGTGCCTATCTGGACCATGTCCATTTAGTTCATCAAACACCAGCCAGGAAGCATCAAAGGGAAGAAGGAACAGACAAAAACAGTTCTAATTTTCTAGATAATGAATGGTTTTTAAGCCATTCACAGAAATGTTGAAGTTCTTTTCAAAGGCAGAAAAGCATTTTTACTTTGGCTTCTGTTGGCAGCAATTCCGAGTGCATTGCTCTTCTGCTTAAAACCTTTCATGGATCTCTATGACCTTCTGAACAAAATCCAAACCCTTTAGTGCATCATGCAAAGTCCCTTATGATCTGGCCTTGGGGATCCCCTCCAGACTCATCCCACAGCATGTAATGTAACTGTCAGCCTTGCTAAGCTCTGGTCTACTTTTCCTAGCATGTTTCACTAGCTTTGTTGATTTTACTTAAGATGATCCCTCTGCTCAGAATGTTTTCTCCTACCTTTCCTCAACCCATTCACCTTTCAAGAGGGCTTCCCCAGGAAGCCCTCCCTAAATTTCCCCGGTTGAGTTGGGGGGGGGCCTTCCTCTGTGTTCTTACAACTTCTCACAATTATTCTCCGTCAGTGTACTGACGGTATTCTGTGTGTTATCATTGTTCATGCGTCTACGTAAGAATGTAAGGTAAGAGGGCAGATGAGCACTGTGTTTTTTATTTCTGTATCCATAGGACACACCATAAGGCCTGACACATAACAGACATACACTAAATAGTTGTTGAGTCAAGAAATATCTTTCTAGGAAATGATTACAGATACCCCAAAGGCACCAAATATAATACTCTTTGCTCCTTCTCAAATAGTAGTGTTTTATTTTTCTATTTGTGAAAGTATTTGGTTCCAGAGAATTTGGAGAATAAAAAGATACACAAAATAAAATGAAAAAATATCTGTGATCTTTCCATGCATAGATAAGCTCTGTTTTTATCCTCTTTTTTTCTTCTTTAACATGAAATCCTGAGTCTCCATGTCATTAACTTGTCTTCAAAAACATGATTTTTAATGACCCAAATTGTCTATTGAATGGACACACAATACTTGTTCTTGCCTTTTTCCCAACTTCTGCACTTTGTCCTTGGAGATCTGATTCTCCCCCATACAACAAGGTCAGACTCTTCTGAACCATGGTGGCCCAGTGGTGGGCATGTGACCCATTAGGCAAATCTCCCTTTTTGAAATTTCTTGTAGCCTAGCTCTTCTCAATTTCTTCTTCTTCAGCTGCTTTTGGTGCTAATACAATATGAAGCAAGAGAACACTGTAGCTTCAATATGCCTTGTCTTTCTGGGGATGTCTTTGAATGCTTCAACTCACCACACTGTATTTATTGTGTCTGCTATGTGGCCACCACCATATTTTCATAACTGTCTTTGACAACATCACATTTTTCTTAAGCTGCAAGGAGATGTGGAGCCCGTGGGAGCCCTCTCACTCAAATTCTAGGAGATGCACTCTACCTCGGCTCCCCTTCTGAGTCTAGCCTGACTATAGACAAAGTGGCTTTGAGTAGTGATGAGCATACTGGTGTTGTAAGGTGTTGCCTGCAATGAAAATACCTCAACCAAGAGTTGACTGCATGGATGTTATGTAAGGCAGGTAACAAGAGTCGTCCTTGATGCTCTCTCTCCCTCACTCTCACACCTAATCCTTCACTAAACACCTGCTAAATCTCTCTCCACTTGGTCCCATTTACTGCTGCTCCTTCTCTTCCTTCTCTTCCTCCTTTTCTCTGCCACAACTGGGGTCAAAGCCACCATTATCTTTCTGGATTACAAGAACACTGTACATAGTCCCTCTGTATCTACTCTGATTTCCCTGCAATTCATTCTCTACACAGCCTCCCAGTGACGCTATAAAACAAAAGTCTGATTGTATCACCTCCTGATTAAAACCCTTCTATGTCTTCCCATTGTTTTAAGACAGTGACAAAATTTAACATGGTCTACAAAACTCTGCACTGTCTGACCCTATTTATTTTGTCAGCCTTATCTAATCTCACATTTCTCTGTCTCTCTGCTTCAGCCTCACTGTTCTGCATTCAGTCTCTCATATGCACCACCACAGGGCCTTTATACATGCTTATGTCTTTTTTTTAAGTAATTAATGTTGACTCATCCTTCAGGTCAGGCTGCACTTCCCAGCCTTTCTTGTCCCTCTTTTTCTTTTTCTTTCTTTCTTTCTTTTGATACATTGTAATTATACATGCTTGTGGGGGTAAATCTGATGTTTGGATACATATATACGTAGTATAATAATCAGGTTATGGTAGTTAACGTAACCATCACCTCATGCACTTATCATTTCTTTGTGGCAAGCACATTCAAAAATTTTTCCTCTAGCTATCATGTAATGTACAAAACTTAACTGTTAACCATAGTCATGTAGCATGCCCTCTTCTCTACTGTAGCACTTGCCATAGGTCTGTGATTAATCAACTATTGCCTGTTCTCTCCTGTAGACTATAAACTTCATGAGGGCAGGGATCATGTTCATTTCCTTATTTATCCCCAACTAACTAGCTAAGTCCTGGCATGTAGCAAATGCTTAATAAATATTAGTGTAATGAGTAATGAATAGATGGGATATCATTTCTTTGAAGCTGAATACCATGTGGTTTGCGAGCAAGCAGTTTCCTTCAGGGAAGCTTGTTAAAGCATAATAGAATATGTTTTCAGTTCCTCTTATAAGAAAATTATTTGAACACAGGTCTATGGGCCTGGTAGGACAAAAATGTTCCATTCCATATGCTAATTGCAGTCAATTACCAATGCCTATACAGGATTGGGGATTCTGAGAATGAACACAGGCCCATGGAAAAGACTTCACGGTCAATTATCAGTGCCTGCATGGGTACTAACACTTGTGCAGATAGAGGCTGCTTATGCTGAATGATAACACTATAAGTTGATACTTTTTCAGTGTTACACTGACGGCGGCATCTGTGATACCCCTTTAATTCTTCCTTAAAAAAATTGTTTTTCTTCCTCTCTCTAGATTTATGGTCAATGTGACATGGGATGGCAAAGATTTATCCTTCACTGAAGAAGGCTATCAGGTGCACCCCAGGCTGGTGGTGATTGTGCTGAACAAGGACCGAGAATGGGAAAAGGTGAGCATCTTCTGTGTGCTGAATGCAGGGGAGGGAAGAAAGCATGGGCAAAATGGGACTCAAATTATTTCTTTTCCCAAAACATTTCCTCTTGAGCTGCTCCAGTTCCTATCCCATAGCCAAGGACAGGTCTTTCTTGGAACAAGACAGACTAAGTAGTGTAAGGGGTGCAGTTATAATGCTTTCCCTGGGTGAACTGTGGTAATTGTGCTGTTTTCTCTGCTGGTTCTCAAATCCCATTAGGAAGGGTCCTTGGAGAACTTAAGATAATTTAAAGACAGTGACACTTGGCTCACACCATTGCAGTAGCAAATGTTGACCATACGGCAATGATCACACCCTTTTGCCTAAACCTCATAATTGTGTGACATATTCACCATTTGTCGTATGGACAAATCCCCTGCATTTTCATTTACTTAGTCTTTTACTTAAAAAAAGTTAATGTTCAAAACTTAAAAGTATCGCTTTGATAAAATCACAGGTTGGAGAGGGAGGTTATAATTCTTGTAAAGCACATTTTCTACTATGTATATATTAACCTCTGAAAAATGTTAAAAATCAGTGTGCAAAGAAAAAAAAATCATCTCCTACTATGCAAGCAATGTCCTGAATCAGAGAGGAGAGACTTCCCAGGGAATTTACAGAGATCTCCTGCATGCAATGACAATATCTATCTGTCCCAGCTGCATTCTCTCCTCCCCCATAATTGAGCTCTCATATTAGTTGCTCCAGTGTCACATAAAGAGTAGAATAAAAGAGACCAAAATGGAAGCCTTTATTGTTATCTTGTTTTCTTTGACAAGTGATGGATGACCCCCAAACTACTTCAGCATCCTGAGATTTATCTTCACTTTGCACATCAAGTAGAGACCCGAGAGACCCTAGAAAAGAGAAAGATACAGATGTGGTGTGGGAGACGTAATATAATTAGCTGGAATCAGTAAAAAATAGCATGCAAACAGAAGCACTGACTTTGGGGAGAAATTGACAGATTTCTAGAAGGGAACAGTGAGAAGAATCTTAGAAAAATCTTGCACACTAATATCCAACGGCTGGAAAATGCACATCCCTTCAAGTGCACGTGGAAAATTCTCCAAAGTAGACAACAATCTGGAGCATGACACAAGTCTCAATATATCTAAAAGGATTGAAATAATGCAGAATGCATTATTTAATCACAATAGCATTTAAATAAAAGTTAGTAACAGAAATATATCAAGAAAATCCCCAAATGTTTGGAAATTACAATGCATTTCTAAATAACATATGGGTCAAAGAAGAAACCAGAAAAGAACTAGAATAATAATGAAACACATTGATTGAACAGATTAAAACACACATATCAAAATTTGAAGAATATAGTTGAAGATGAGCTAAGAAGGAAATTCATAGCTTTAATGCTTATAATAGTAAAAAAAAACAACAAGGAAAGTATAGAGACATTGATTTAAACTTGTGCATTAAGAAGCTAGAAAAAGAAGAGCCAAGTAAACCCAAATGAAGTAGAAGGGGAAAATAAATATGAGAGTAAAAATTAACAAAGTAGAAAACAAGCTATAGAAAAAATATCAACAAAGCCAAAAGATAGTTCTTTGAAAAGGTTAATAGAATTCATAATTTCTACCAATAATAATCACACAAAAAGGAGAAAATACAAGTAATCAATATTAAAAATGCAAGGGGGGATATCACCAGAGACGTTTTAGATCCTACAGGCATTAAAACAATAAAAAGGAATATCATGACAAATTTATGCCACCAAATTTGACAATCTACATAAAACGGGGAATTTGCCCATTTTACGTAGATTGTTGAATTTGGTGGCATAAAGTTTTCAGAACTGACATAAGAAATTGACCATTTGAATAGCTCTATATTTGCTAAGAAATTGAATGTATAACTAAAAATCTTCCCATTTAAAAGAAAAGAAAAAAGAAAAACTGCTGGCCTACACAGCTTCATTGTGAATTCTATCAAACATTAAAAAAAAAAAAAAAAAAAAAACCACAAAACACCTATCTACATAAAGTTTTTCAATATGTTACTAATCATAATACAGCAATATATTTTAAAAAGGATAATACCTCATGGATAAGTGGGATTTATCTTACGAATGCAAGATTGGTTTAAAATCCAAAAAATAAAATCAATGTAACTTACCATATTAACAGAATAAAAGAGAAAATTATATGGTCATCTCAATAAATGCAGAAGAAGCATCTGACAAAATCTGATATTCATTCATGATAAGGAAGGAAGATACCTCATGCTTATAAAGAATATCTATGAAAACCCTATAGCTAATATTTAATGATGAAATAATGAAAATAAATCCACGAATGTTCATTCAAATGATTTTTGAAGAATGATTATGACAGTGAGAGAAAGGAAAGTATTTTTTCATGTAAGTGAATTATTTTTTAAAAAATTTTTATTGATTATGTATATTCATGGGGCACAGAGCTGACTGGAAGCACCTGTGCCCCAAATGTGATGATCAGATCAATACTTTAAGCATGCCCACCACCTCAAATTGCAATTATTCCCCAAGTCCTCCACCCAACCTCTCCCTGACCTCCCTCCCCCCTTCCTTCCCCTCCCCCACACCCCTAGGTCTGTTCTCTCCCTGTGTGAGTCCAATGTAGCACTGTGCTCTTTCTTTCCTTCCTTCTTTCTCTCTTAGCTCCCACCTAGGAGTGAGGACATGCAGTATTTTTCCCTCTGTGCCTGGCTTATTTCACTTCACATATGTTTTTTTTTTTTATTTTAATTTATCAATACACAATGTAGTTGATTTTTGTGTCCCTTTACCAATTCCTCTTTCCCCTCTCCCTCGCCCCCTCCCCCCATCTACATCATATCTGTTCACTTGTCTTAACAAGTTCAGCTATTCCACTGCTGGGAATATACCCAGAGGAATGGAAATCTTCATGTTCAAGGGATACCTGTACTCCAATGGTTATTGCAGCACTATTTACAATAGTCAAGAGTTGGAACCAGCCCAAATGTCCATATCAGATGAGCAGATAAGGAAAATGTGGTATATTTACACAATAGAATACTACTCTGCTATAAAAAAGAATGAAATACTACCATTTACAGCAACATGGATGGACTTAGAAAAAATTACATTAAGTGAAATAAGTCAGGCACAGAAAGAGAAATACCACGTGTTCTCACTTATTCATGGGAGCTAAAAACAAACAAACAAACAAATAAACAAATAAATGTACAAACAAATGGTGAGGGGGAGGGCAGGGCAAAGTCTTCTTAATAAGTGGCATTGTATCAACTGGATTTCCACATGGAAAAAAATTAATCAATCTTCATCCATTGCTCAAACTATGCACACAAAAAATTACTTGCAAATAAATTTCAGGCTTCGATGTAAAAGCTAAAATTATAAACTTTCTAGAAGAAAGTGTAAGAGAATATTTTTGTGATCTGAGAGAACCACATTCGTAAAAAGAATGCAAAAAACAGTAAGCATACAGGAAAAATAAGAAACTGTACTCTATCAAAGTTATAATTATTGTTCATGTAAAGACACTGTTAGAAAATGAAAAGGGCAAGTTACAGATAGGGAGAAAATACTAACAATATCTTGAACATTTGTCAAAATGCATCAAACTATGATCCATTCATTTCATTGCATTTCAGTGTACTTAAAAACATTTTAAAAACTCCTTCAAATTGGGATACTCAGCACAATTAACTAACAATTTTTACCAAGCATTCATATTTAACCCCCAGATATGAATACTAATTATAATAACAATAGTCATTGTTTATAGATCACCTAATCTATTTTTCCTTTAGATGGTCCACCGAAGTACTGACTGACAACTTTATTTACTCAGTCAACAAATATTTATTCAGTGCCTACTCTGCGCCTGGCATTAATTTTGATGTTTGCTATGTATCAGTGAACAAGAGAAAAAATAATCTCTGTACTCGAGGAACGTAGATTCTAGTGTGTGTATAGAGAAGATGGAGTGGGATGGGATTCTATGCACTTCTGTTATGCTTGAGGAAAGTATAAGCTTCTATTTAACTGTCCCTAGTTTTTCACTCCTCTCTTCCCTCTGATACACTCTGTAGCCCACCATATAAGTGATTCACAACTCCATGAAGGTGCTGGGTTTATTTATGCATCTGGGACTTTGAATGTGCTATTTATTTATTATTATTTTTCTTTTGCCTGTCATGCTTTCCTGTATCACCTTCTTTTATCCATCCAAGTCCTGGTTTTTCTTCTCTCTTACAAATACAAAACCAAAATGCAAGTAATGTTTATTTTGTTTCCTTAATAAGAGGTAGAGAATTTGGGCCTTTCTGCCATATGTTGTTGAGTCTGGGGGTTATCTTTCAACCTTTCGATGTTACACGATCTGAGCATCACTTTTGAAGTGGTCATATCATTCTTCTTGGTTGGATTTAACCAGTCCTGGGTCAGGCTTGAATTTTCCATGCTACCTTTGGATCTGGTTCATCTGCCGGGGAGCCAGCTTATAAGAAAGCCACTGCAGTGCAGGTGATACATTGAATAAAAGAAGGCTACCCTTGATATACTCCATTTCCAGATACAAAAGAATGCCTTTTAATATTTTGTGGGTCCTCCTTCAAATTCCTGTTGAAGTACAGCCCTTTCCCAAGAAAGGCAGCTTGGAGAATTTCTGCTGAGTTGAGCTTAGAATGAACAAATGCTTCCTGTAGTTGTTCTATTCTCTTGACACTCAGGGGATCCAGCGCTTCAGAAATAACTCCTTGTGCTTCAGTCTCAAAGAAAGAGGAAGCTAGTGAAGCAGGTAAACACCAGTCATGTTATGCTTAAAGCCACCCCAGCACTACACACTGGCACAGCGGGTCAGCAGAGGGGAAGGACCGCCCAGGAGGGAGCTGTTATGAAGGGAATTGGAGGCAATTTCTTTTCGTCTCTGAGGTCACCAGTGGCATCACTGGAAGCAGCAGCATGTAATGAGGATGTCTTGGAAAACATG